TTATTCTAACATATGACACGGGTCTTGTAAACGCAAGAAAGTCATACGTTTTTCGCTTCATTTTTCAAACAGTGAATATTATTTTAAAATGTTGATATGCCCTAAAGCAGAATTCAATAGGATAATTTAATTTTAGAATCGTACAAATTCACGATTTCCATCACAAACTTACGCAATTTACTGGCGGTGAGTTCTATTAAACAAAGATTTAAGCAAACTGAATTTCAGCGCAAAGCCTTGCAATAGGCCATTTTACAGTTGTGTACTAGGCCAAGCCTTTGATTTGGAGTGAGGCTGAAGGTGACCTTCCTGTGATACTAAACAAAACTTATGAGAATGTAAGTCCTCTCTCTGACTTCAATTGAGGCTTTGCGACGTAGGGGTCAATTCTTTAGAACGGTAAATATTATTTTAAGTATTGACATGTCCCAAAAGTAATTTTCAATAGGAGATTTTGACTTAAATCGTACGTTCTTCAAAAATTTCAGCGCAAAGCCTTGAAATTTTCGAGTCGTAACTTCTAGTAAACACAAATTCAAGTAAGGCGAATCAACTTGGCGGGTCTCGTAAAGACAAAAAACTCGTACGTTTTTCGCTTGGTTTTTCAAACAGTGAGTATTGCTTTTAAATCTTGCTATGCCCCAAAAGTATTGTTAAATAGATGATATTAATTTCAAACCGTACAATTTCAGAATTTTCATCACAAACCTACACAATTTTCTGGCCGTGAATTCTAGTAAACAACGATTCAAGCATGTTGAATCTACGACGTGTTCACGCACATGCAAAAAATTCGTTTTTCTCTTTAAGCTTTTTATCATCATACTTAAAATCTTTCAAATACATTTTTGGTCTAATATATTTCTTGGTCGTCTTTGCCTTATCATAAAGTCATATCTTTCGGGTAGATCGCGATTACCTGGGAAACCCGACACAATAGTGATATTTTAAAAAACTCTTTCTTCCAGCACAAGTCATGCTTTTAGCTGTTCGTAGATCGAGTTATGAATACACGCAGGAGATTTGGAAAGCACCAGGGAAGCGTTATAGTTGCTGAAGGCACAGCCGAGAGCAACTTAAGCTTCTTGATTGCTCTCCAAACTTCCCGCGTGCATCCATGATTCAATATACGCATGCTAGGCATGAACCAAATCTTTAAGATCTTGGTAAAGAGCGTGGGCCAGTACGAAGAAGAGTTTTAAAGATAACTTTGTTATTCTATACCAATTGTAGCCCTGAGTATGTTTTAGAATTGGCCCTAAGTTGATTGAAATAAATAAACCGCTAATGTCACGGGAGCGAGCTCTTTTTTGGCACAATTACTCCAAGATAGCACTAACGTTTCAAAGTTGAGCTTTGTTGAATTCACTCCAGCGTGACATCCGACATTATCGACTATTCTTCATGAAATTAGCAAGTATCCGAGACGTGTGGTTTGTTTTTATGCTCACTTAAGTTTATATCAAATTCATAGAATGGGATTTTAAAACAAAGGAATCTTGTGGTTGGTTTTGTCTCTAACCGAGGAATTATGGCTGTGTTCGCTTAGATATTTCAGACAAAAAACATGCAACTTATGTGCCTGTTCAGAGGAGAACTAATTTCAAGTCATTGAAGACCCTTTTTCCCGTGAAACATCGGTTTCAATGACACATAATTATATTTATTATATTATTATTATTATTGAACTTGAAATAGGATAACCACCAGATACCTCACTAAAACATAACGGTTTCAAAGTGTATCACATTTCTGAACATGATAGACATTTCCGTCACTACATACTCAACCAAAACCATCATTTTCGATCCCTGATCCCAAGTATTTCATAGGATAGTAGATAAAATCTAGTTGCCTATTAAGTAAAAAATGATTTTGAAGAGTGATAGTGTTTGTCCCTATTGTAGTTACTTACTTGTCAAGGTGTTCCTGCTGACATAAGTATGTAGATCAAGCAAATGAGATCTGGAGGGCTAACCCTTCAAACGTCTGCTTTAGAAACCCTTTACTTTGGCCAGTTTACTTTGGCCAATGGGCTATTTCCGAATTACCTTTAGCCTCTTTTTCATAACAAGGCCTGGTGCTTGTATGAAAATGAGTTTAATTTGCATGTGAATAAAAACTTATAGTCCTATGAAGGGTTGTGGACCAGGACTCGCTTTGAAAATAAAGGGCTATTTACATAAGCCAATTATCAGTCTATTATCGGAAACATGTTATCACATAGAAATATATTACAAACTTTGGCAATGGACAGTACAACCCCGCTCAAGTGAAAGGTCCCAGGAGCGATTCCAAGCGATGACGATTTCTTCTCCAATAAAAATACACGTTTTTCTGGTTTTTTTCAGAACAGCACCATTTATTGCGCAGAAATCGACATTTAAGCAGCCATTACCGAAGCACAGCGTTTGTCTCTCCTTTCCCAGCTTTTGCAAAAAGGGAAGGTTCTAATCATGCCTGAGAGCAGCTCATCGATTTTGTGTTTTCGACGTTCATGCATTCAATTTTGGGACCAAGATGGCGTATATACAAGGCATCTAAATAATTAAATGTCAGACGGCTTATAGCCATTGAGCGATATATTTATCCGACGGAGGGAAGATTGAATTTTTGGTCCTAACAACAACTCAGAAGTGACTTTTGACCATATTTTTGAATTGAAAAGTAACCCAGCACCCAGTTAAAGTAAACAGAAGTTCTTAATGCTTGAGAAATTATTGTGCATTCTAAGTCGTTCTCAGAACAAAGCACGATCGGGAAGTGAAGATCGTGTGAACGCATGAATACTCATTTTCAAGCTGAATTTGCAGAAGTGTAGGCAGAACTTTAGAAAATATTGTAAAAATTGATTATTTAGCTTTTTCATTCCTGGTAGGATTCCCAATCGCAAAACGTTCTAGAATTTCAGCGCGATCATCCACCATGAAGCTGGAAAGCCGCGAAAGGTAAACATTAAATCTAATCTTGAGAGATCTGTCAGTAAAGCGATAAAAGAAAATAACATACGCAGAATATCATGAGTTTGAAGAGAGAGAGTTTTTCATCGTGAAGTTACTTACTTGTCACGGTGCTGACTTATT